TCACACACACCACATATATATATATATATATATATATATATATATATACGTACGTGCAAGCGCGTGGATAATATATTGTTATAATTAACTCAAGAAAATATTTTTCTCCTTTAAAAAAAAAATATAGTTTAAACCTCATGAAATGAAGGTCATTTTTTAAAGTCATAAACCAACATTCAACTGAAAGTTACAACAACAATTATGTTTGATTAGAAAAATAATAGAAAGAAAATGAAGAGAAAATGAACTTGACTTTTCAGAGACAAAGTTATTTCTTTTTTTTTTCTTTTACTATTCCTTTAATTCAAATTTCAATTTTTTGTTCGCTTTTCCCATTTTCTTTCATTCATTCTAAACATAAAAATATGTAAAAAAAAATGTCAAATAAGATATCCAAAAAAACTTTAAAGAATTATGAAAATAGACATTAATTTAATGAAATTAATGATCATACATTTTTAGTATAAAAATTTTTACGCCGTTAATAAATCAAAAATCATCTTTGATATGATTTTTAAGATATTATAAAAATCAATAAATTTATCATATATAATTTTTAATTAAATAACAATGTAAAATTATTTTAGATTAATAATACATATTTTTTTCTCTAATTTAAGTTTCAAAAGAAAAAAAAGTTCAATCCGACAAAATACAATGGCGTCATGCAACAAAAACAAATGTAGAAAAAAAAATTATGACATGATGCTGTAACAAGTTTATCTAAACAAGAAAACTTTAATTTTTTTAAATTCATCTTTTCAGACTTTTCTTCATAATCATTTTTTTGGGATGATTGTCTTTGGCAGAACAAAACTTATACATATACCAATTTGAGAGTCCTCAATAACAAAATATGATGGTGTGATAGGCATATAGAAGGGCTAAAATGTTGGTAGAAAAAAAATATTAGGAAACAGATAAGCATCTAAAATGATTGGATACATTAGATGAGATATTTGTATTCCTTTGAGCATGACAAAATTGGAAGTATGAGATGTTATTAAGAGTTCTTCACTTCACATTTATTTGTCTAACGTGGATAGTCTCTTTATGATTGATGAAGAGATCCAAGTTATGAATCAAGTACGGTTGTTGTGAATTTTATGAAATCGAATTATAGCAAAAGAAAATAATTGAATGGCAAGGGTACTCTGATGCTGTAGTCTGTTTGAGATGAATTAGCAAATTTTGACTTTGAAGATGAGAGTTCCTTGTCTGCTGGAAGTTGCAGTGATTACAACAGGTAGTGACTATGACAACTTTATTACTCATTTAATGGTCCGTGAATAAGAGGTGAGTGCCTGCAATAAGAAACTTAGACTCGGATCATATGCACAGAGAATTTCTTTTTGCAATTTTATATTAATGGAATTTTGAAATTAAAAATTTAAAAGTAATATAAAATAAATTGATTCACCAACAAGTTGTTATTTCTAGTGCATTAGACTTGATTTTTTTAAATAAAATCTTAAATTTAAATTTTATGAAAAAAATTTGTTGAAAAGAGAAATTATATTAAAAGTGATCAATTAAATTTTAACAGATAAATCATATATAAAGTTCATAAATATTTTGTTAGAGTGACATTTTAAAACAATAAATTGATTTTTCTAAAATAGGACAAAAATAGTTTATGAAGAAGACAATGATTGATCTTTCTAATATAGTTTATGCAAAATGTTAGACCTTTATCATTAAATTTTCGCATAAACTAAAACACGAGTTGCCTATAGGCTTGCCCTTCTATTTCTTTCTGAAAATGATGAAGATGAAAATGAAAAGGTGCAAGTTTAAACATAATTGCAACTACAAGTAAATGTTACTTTTCATTGAAACTAAAATATAAAATGTTAACAAAAAAAAAAATATTGTTAAAGTAACATTTAAAGTATGTTTAATTCACGTCAATTTTAGTTAAATATAAATACATGTAAAAGCAATAATTAATTTTAGTTAAAGATAAATACATGAAAGCAACAATTAATTACTTTTGTATCAATTTTAATGTGATTAAAGTAAATATGAATATGAAATTAAACATAAACTTAAATCTTATCTCATTCATTTATATTTTATATTAATATATTCATTAATTCTTGATTAATAAATTATGGAACTTCTTATTGATAATTCAAATCAAAGAATCACTTTTTAGTATATTTACAATGTTATAGAAAGTAGAAACACTCACAATATCAACTCTTAATTTTCGAATAAGAATACTTATTGTTTTTCTTTAAAATAATATATATATATAAGGGTTAATTTACTTAGATTTACTCTATTTAATAATTTAATCTATATCAAATTTCAACGATCTAATCATTGAATTTAAAATTTTTAATTCATAGATTAAATTTGTAAATTTTTAAAAAATTTAAAAATTATTTAATTTTTCATTTCATTAATTTAAATTAATGGATACTTATAAAA